CAGCAAACATGGATTCTGACTGGAGAGATTCAGAATGTACGACGATATTCTAGGCAAAGGGGACAGCTGCCATGGTGGCAGGCAAGAATTCAGTAAATGATAGCTAGTACTGCTTTTCCAAGAAAATTAGTCTTAACCGAGAAAAGGTAACAGATGCCTCCATGTGATATTTGCGCATTGCCGGGTTTTTGTTTTTTGGTTTTTTTCTGAGACGGAGTTTCGTTCTTGTTGCCCAGGCTGGAGTGCAATGGCGCGAACTCGGCTCACTGCAAACTCCGCCTAACAGGTTCAAGCAACTCTCCTGCCTCAGCCTCCCAAGTAGCTGGTTACAGGCATGTGCCACCACGCCCAGCTAATTTTGTATTTTTAGTGGAGACAGGGTTCTCCATGTTGGTCAGGCTGGTCTTGAACTGCCAACCTCAGCTGATCCGCCTGCCTTGGCCTCCCAAAGTGCTGGGATTACAGGCATGAGCCACCGCGCCTGGCACTGTTTTTGAGGCGGAGTCTGGCTGGAGTGCAATGGCGTGATCTGGGCTCACTGCAACATCCCAGGTTCAAGTGATTCTCCTGCCTCAGCCTCCCAAGTAGCTGGGATTACAGGCGCCCATCACCACACCCGGCTAATTTTTAGTAGAGATAGGAATTCACCATGTTGGCCAGGCTGGTCTTGAACTCCTGACTTCAAGTGATCTGCCCGCCTTGGCCTCCCAAAGTGTTGGTATTACAGGAGTGAGTCACCATGCGCAACCCGTTGCAGGTTAGACTCATTCTTTGGCCAACAGTTATTGCTTACTCAGGTATCCATGACAATGTTCCCTGGATTTGTGTGATTGACTATACCCAACACAAAGACACCAAGCACAGGGACCTCATTTCTTAATCTTCCCTATATACCTAGGAAAGTGCTAATAAGCTTTCCTGGAATTCATCATTTCCTTATCTGTATGCTTCACTGTACTTTGCTTATAAATTCATATACGGCACATCAGAACACGCCTTGCTGTATAACTATGAGTCCATGCTGGTCTTATCACTAGAACAGTGGTGCCCTAAAAGCATAGTATTAGCCCTACAGGGCATTTTAGGGTATGTGGAGGTTTTTCTTAACTGTCACAATGACTGGAAGGCATTACTGGCACTTAATGGGCAGAAGACAGGAAATTCAGATGACCTGCAATGCTGAGACTGTCCTGTATGTCAAAACACTGTCTCTAGTGGGAGCCAGGGCTCTCAGTATGAAAGACGGGAGATACAAATATGGACTGGAGCAAGGCAAGAAGAATCCCATGGGGAAGAACTTGGGATTGGTATGAACTCATTATTTGCAAAATATATATAGTATGTGTACATGCATATGTGTACATGTATGTATTTATGTGTATGTGCATTCATATTTTTCCAAAATCTGTCCATTGAATGGGCCAAGAAGCAAATATTTCACAGTAGCAAAAGGACATCTAGCACCTAGATCTTGTTTGCTAATGTCATTCCTCACCAAAAGTAACCAGAGCTCCTTGGAGAAATGGTTGATTCCAGGGCTAGGCTAGAAAAGGTGCAAAATGAGCCTGAAACACCTTGTTATATGGGAGAAAGTAAGTTATCAAAAAAGAAGGGAGTCGGGGGAAATGGAAGCCAGCTTGAAAGGGCTTCTATCAGCCAAGTATGGGATGATTAGACCACCAAAATAATTGAGGAGGGTAATGAATCATTAAAAAAACTCACAAATAGATGATTTAAACATAATGCATGATAATAAACAGATGAGAAAGAAATGAGAGAAAATGAAGGGTTCTTGCTTATAGTAGATACTGAGTGTTAGCTAGAAAATCTGGAGAAATTTTCAGAGTTGGAAAATCATCACTTTGCAGCCATCATAGTAAAAACTGATTCAGGCTAAAGCCATGAATTGATGCTAAATCTAAGAGCATACTTTTGATAAGCAACAGCTATTTGCATTGTACTAAAGTGTCTCCCCGTAAATATCCTATTAATCAAAAGGGAGAAAACCAGTCTGATTTCTACAGTGGAGAAATCAGACACAGTTGACTCGGTGATCAAAGTTGATATGACCAATGAAGGCATATGGTATCAGGTATGTCCACATGTGATACCCTGGCAGGGGCACAACATCACTCAGAGTATTCTGGCTGGGGAAGCATCACAACAATGAGAAAACAGCAGAAAAATCCAAAAGAGGAATATTCTATTAAAAAAAAAAGAGAGAGAGAGATTGAATTCTTTAAAAATATATAGGACAATGTTGTAAGAAACAAAGAAAGGATAAGGAACAATTTCAGATGAAAGAAGATTAAACAGACCTGACAACTAAATGTAATAGATGATCCTAGACAGCACCCTGTACTGGAGGAGGAAAAATGCTATCAGAGACATTATTAGGTCTATTTCCAAAATTGGGATATGAATAGTAAAGCATTATATTAATGTCAAAATTTCTGAAGTTGGTAACTGTGCTATGATTATACAACAGTATTACCTTATCTCAGGTAATGTACTCTGAAGTATTCAGGATAAAGAGCTATACATATTATATGCAACAAAGGCCCAAATGATTAAAGAAAGTATGTATACAGGGGAAGAAGGAGAGAGAAAGCAAAAACAAATGGATCAAAATGGTAATAACAGGTGAACATGAGTAAAAGTAGTGCTATGGTTTGAATATTTGTCTCCACCGAAACTCATGTTGAAATTTAATCCCCAGTGTAACAGTATTGATAGGCCAGTGGATTATGAGGGCTCTGCCCTATGAATGAATTAATCCATTCATGGACTAATGGGTTAATGGATTAATGGATTATCATAGAAGTGGGACTGGTGGTTTTGTAAGAGGAAGACAGACCTGAGCTAGCATGCTCAGCCCCCTTTCCATGTGATGCCCTGAGCCACCTCAGGACTCTGCAGAGTCCTCACCAGCAGGAAGGCTCTCACCAGATGCCACCTCTCAACATTGGCCTTCTCAGCCCCTCTAACTATACAAAATAAATTCCTTTTCTTAATAAATGATCCAGTTTCAGGTATTCTGTTATAAACAGCAGAAAACACACAGGTATAGAGGAATTATTTGCAGTTTTTGTAAGTTTAAAATTATTTCCCACCAGGTGCAGTGGCTCAAGCCTGTAATCCCAGTACTTTGAGGGGGCTAAGGTGGGCAGATCACCTGAGGCCAGGGGTTTAAGACCAGCCTGGCCAATAGGCAAAACGTTATCTCTATTAAAAATACAAAAATTAGCTGGGCATGGTGGCATTCGCCTGTAATCCTAGCTATTCGGGAGGCAGAGGCAAGAGAATCGCTTGAACCCAGGAGGTGGAGGCTGCAGTGAACTGAGATCATGCCACTGCACTCTAGACTGCGTGACAGAGCAGACTCTGTCTTTAAAAAAAAAAAAAAAAAAATCTAAATAAAAAGATAAATTTGCCATGCCATTTATGACATAACAATCACACCACCAAAAAAACAACCTATTTATAATTAATGGAACTCCATTTTTTCATATAAGCAAAGTATTCTTTTCTTATGGAAAATAAACAATTTTCCATAAATGCAACTCCATCTTGAGGGAAGACAGACCTTTGAATGAATCAGAATTTTACTAAGAGTTTTTCATTTTAAAAATAAAATTATGTCATTATGATACTGCTACTCCTGGTATTTGAATTCACCAGTATACCACAACTGGACCCAGCTAGATTTCTTCCATGTCTACAGTGATTCCACATTTATATGCAATTTTTACCTACTTCATTGTTTCTTACTGTAGTTTTGCCTAGGCATTTGTTTACACACTGAAATACATATTGTTTAAATTACTTCTCTTTTGTTTCTCCTCTGCATCATAGTGAAGGAGTTATATTGATTTTTAAATCTATGAATTTAGTTTCAAGATGTTAGAGGAAGAGTATGATAAAGCATTCGTTACGAGAAGGCTACCTAGGGTCTCTTGTAGAGAGAATCAGACTGTAAGTTTCTCACAGAGAAGCTATGATTACTTATTTCAGATCTTCCACATCTTTGCTTTAGCTGGCCTGTGCACATACACCCATTCCAGAGCTCACAACCAGTCCTGCTTGTGCAGTCACGTCATCGGGAAAGAAAAGGATGAGATCTCTGAAAACCCAATAAGGTGACCATTAGAGACAGCAATGTCTCCTGCACTTATGGGAAAAATTCATAAACACAAGGGACTTTATTCTTATGTGACACAAGCCCAAAAACAGTAAAAGAAATCTGGGGGAATATATTAGATCAGCATTGGAGTTGATCCAAAAATTACATCAGTCTCATAAAACTATCATCAATCTATTTACTTTATTAATGTTCCGATGATGTTATATGTACCAAAGGGCAGGCAGAACCAAAAGTCTAAAATATGTACATCTTTAAAAACTGTGCACTGAGTCAGTGATTTCTTTTAGGGCTTGGTATTCTATAAAAGAAAGGCTGTTGTCTGTGTAATATAACATAGGGAACGGGAGAAAAGAAAGTATAATTACAAGCCTAAAGCCTGGGAAGATGTTAATCAACTATCTTCCCTAAACAGCTTACATGAGATTGTAACATCACTTTCAAACCTGTCACCTGGCAATGAAATACAGAAGAGTCAAAAAGGGCTCTGAAGACCACAAGAGGAGTTAAGAAAATGAAGAGATTGATAATAAGTCAGAATGAAATATAAAATACGAAATTCTGTAAAACAGACAGGCTGAATGAAAACCCTATGGTGAAAATGGACAAGAAACAAAAGAGCTGTTTACATAGGCTAAGGAGACTAATCATGGAAGCAAAAAATGAAATATTATAAATAAACAGGATAAAAATGATTTTGCCATATATAAAAGTCTAACTCTTTAAGACTTAAAATGTGCTTATTTGAATTGAATCATCGTAAAAGCAAAATTTCATATATATATAATATACATAAATAATGGAAGACATATGGAGTGACTGAAAATGACACGTAATAAATAGTTCAACAGGTACCTACCAAGATGGCAATGTTCTTTTTCTCTTGCTTCCCATTTGTGGCTGTCTACATAGGCTGCAGAAAGCAGGCATCTTTTACCTGAAGAAACAGGCAATTATTTCAACAGGCATGGCTTTACAACAGGTTCATTTTATATATTTTATTAAATATATCATTGCTATCCTTTCAATTACTAGATTATATATCTTAAAAAATCTAATACAATACAGCAACCAATATTGCATAGTTCACAATTCAGTTAAGAACAAAATGCATTCAACCCCTAACAAGTAGAAGACACAGAAAAACAGAATTTTCACAACAATTTTTTAAAATAAAAATCAACAGGGTCTTGCTATAAAGCCCAGGCTGGAGTACAGTAGCTATTCACAGGCACAATCCCACTACTGATCAGCAAAGGCATTTTAATGTGCTTTGTTTCCAACCTGGTTCATCCTTCCTGAAGCAGCCTAGTAGTCCCCCTGCTCCTAGAAGGTCAGTCACCATATCAATGCCAAACTTACTGTGGACATTTGATCAGTATAGTGCACTACAGCCCAGGACTCCTGCAGTCAAGCAATCCTCTTGCCTCAGCCTCCCAAGTAGCTAGGACTAAATACACATACCACTGCACTATGCCTATAATTTTATGGATAAAAATGCTGATAATTTTGTTCCTATAACTTTAAGACTAAGAACCACTTGTTCCTAGTAAATTATACCCCAGGCAAGCCCTAGAACCCTTTCTTAAAACCAAAAACACCTGCTGACGGTTGCTTAACTCATGAATTAAATACCTTATAATTATTACGCCTAAAAACATTTTCATGTTAGATCCTTAGGTTTAACTCATGTCACATAAAGGAAAGAGTAGTATCTTACCCAATGGCCCAGCAGCCTAGTGGCAAATAAAAGACACTCACTAAGCCAAAGCTGAGTAACATTCAAGATAGCATACCAGTATTCCTAGCTCCTGGCATAATGCCTAGCCTTTGGCAGCGCTTAACAAACATGAGCTCAAGAAGTGAATGAGAAAGAATGCATGGTGAGTTCATCAAAATTTAAAACTTGTGCTTCAAAGTACAATCTCAGGAAAGTGAAAGTACAACCCAAAGAATGGGAGCAAATACTTGCAAAACATTTATCCAATACAGGACTTGTATCCAAAATATTTCAGTAACCTACAATTCAAAAATAAAAAAGACAAACCAAATAAAAGATGGGTAAAGGATTTAAACAGATATACCTTTAAAATTATATATACAGAGGTGGGGGGATCGCTTAAGCTCAGGAGTTCGAGACCAGCCTGGGAAACATGGTAAAAACCCATTTCTACAAAAAATACAAAAATTAGCCAGGCACGGTGGCATGCACCTGTAGTCCCAGCTACTTGGGAGGCTGAAGCGGGAGAACTGCTTGAGCCTGGGAGGTAGAGGTTGCAGTGAGTCAAAATCATGCCACTGTACCCCAGGCTGGGCAACAGAGTGAGACTGTTTCAAAAAGAAAAAAAAAAAAAAATGCACACAAACAGCCAAATCACAATGACAGATGCTTAACATAATTTGCCATTAGAGAAATGCAAAACAAAATCACCTATAGAAACGAATGCGCTCACTACAATGACTACCATCAAAAAACAGATAAGGACAGCTGCTGGGGAGGATGCAGAGAAACCAGAAACTCATACCTTACTGGAGAGAACATAAAACAATGCAGCTGCTTTTTAAAGAATTTGGCAGTTCCTCAAAATGTTAACATGGAGTTACTCTATGACCCAGCAATTCCACTCCCAGGTTTACAATCAAGAAATGTGTGGCCGGGCGCGGTGGCTCACGCCTATAATCCCAGCACTTTGGGAGGCCGAGGCGGGTGGATCACGAGGTCAAGAGATCGAGACCATCCTGGTCAACATGGTGAAACCCCGTCTCTACTAAAAATACAAAAAATTAGCTGGGCATGGTGGTGCGTGCCTGTAATCCCAGCTACTCAGGAGGCAGAGGCAGGAGAATTGCTTGAACCCAGGAGGCGGAGGTTGCGGTGAGCCGAGATCGCGCCATTGCACTCCAGCCTAGATAACAAGAGCGAAACTCCATCTCAAAAAAAAAAAAAAAAAAAAAGTGAAAACTTGTGTCCACAGAAAATTTGTACACAAATGTTCACAGTAGTATTATTCATAATGGACAAAAAGTGGAAACAACCCAAATATCCATCAATTGATGAACAGATAAAAAGTGGCATACCCTTACAATGGAATAGTATTTGCAATAAAAAATGAAGTACTAATACATGCTACAACATGGATGAATCTTGAAAACATATTAAGTAAAAAAGATGCCAGTCACAAAAGACCAAATATATGATTCCATTATATGAACTATCCAGAACAGGCAAGCCTGTAGAGACAGAAAGTAGATTCACGGTTGCTTAGGGCTAGAGGTGGGGATCAGGAAAGCTAGAGGGGAAAGGGGGAGCAACTGCAAATGGGCAGGGAATTTCTTTCTGGGATAATGAAAATGTCCTAAAATTGATGATAACAATGGCTGCAGAACTCTGTGTTTATACTAAAACCTTTGAATTGTATACTTCATTTGTTGTTTTGTTTGTTTTTGAGACAGAGTTTCACTCTTGTTGCCCAGGCTGGAGGGCAATGGTGAGATCTCAGCTCACTGCAACTTCCTCCTCCCAGGTTCAAGGGATTCTCCTGCCTCAGCCTCCCTAGTAGCTGGGATTACAGGCACCTGCCACCACGCCTGGCTTAATTTTTTGTATTTTTAGTAGAAATGGGTGATCCACCAGCCTTGGCCTCCCAAACAGTTGGGATTACAGGTGTAAGCCACCACGCCCAACCTGAATTGCATATTATATACGGAAGAATTGTATGGCATGTGAAGTATATCTCAACAACCCTGTTTTAAAAAACAGAAAAGATGACAGATAATTATGTTGAAGTCACAGCAGACCAAAAGCCCAACATAACTAGATGGCATGGGGGCTGATTAAACACAATACTAAAATGCTGTTGTTATTCTCTATCTACCTTCCAACTGAAACAAACAAATGCAAACACATCTGTGTGAATTTATACATAGCCCAATCATTCCCTTACTATAAGCACAGATCTTTACTAGACTAACATATCTAAATCTGAGTTCCACAAATAAAATAATGAGGCAACAATAAGGTTTCCTAAGACAGTTTCAAAAGGGGAACTAAGACTATAATTACTTAATTTATTATATATATACATATATTTTTGAGAGAGTCTCACTCTGTAGCCCAGGCTGGAGTGTAGTGGTGTGATTTTGCCTCCCTGTAACCTCTGCCTGCAGGATTCAAGCAATTCTCCTGCCCAGGCTGGGTAGCTGGGATTACAGGCGCTCGCCACAACACTCAGCTAATTTTTGTATTTTTAGTAGAGGTGGGGTTACACCATGTTGGCCAGGCTGGTCTCAAATTCTTGACCTGCTCACTTTGGCCTCCCAAAGTGTTGGGATTATAGGCGTGAGCCACTGCACCCACCCAGAAAAGACTATAATTATGTAAGTGCCCACATTTCAAATAGAGTGTGATTTTTAAAAAATTAGATATTTGGAATTTAGAAGGCATTTTCAATAGAAATAATATAATAAATTATTAGTTATATTCCTAGATCTACCAGCAAAGATGGATAAAAAGCTGATGGCATTATGTTAGGTATATGGCTGTCCACCAATTCAGAGTAAGGAGACCTGAGTTTTAGTTTGAATTTTACCAGCTGTTAAAAAATTTCATATCTTACAGTTGCAAATAAAGCTAAACTAAGTGACATCCTGCATCCCTCTATGCTCTGACAGTCTTAGAAACAGAACCAAAAGCATCAATTCAGAGAACCCATTTACAACTGATAGTTGCATTTCTACACAAATTGAATTTCAATTTTAAAACCAGGAGGATCTCTTATTTCTGTGGGGAATAATAGCAGCCTTCTCTATGTAAGCATAAGTTGAGGAGAGGGGGTTAAACTATATACAGTTGTTTCTGGATATCCATGGGGGATAGTTCTAGGATGCCCCCTCAGATACCAAAATCTGAGAATGCAGAAGTCTCTTACATAAAATTGCGTAGTATTTGCAAATAATCCACACACATCCCCTTGCATTAATTTAAGTCAGGGGTGTCCATTTTTTTGGCTTCCCTGGGTCACACTGGAAGAACAATTGTCTTGGGCCACACGTACATAAAATATACTGACACTAATGATAGCTGATGGGCTAAAAAAATTAAAAATGCTAAAAATCTCATAATATTTTAGGAAAGTTTACAAATTTGTGTTGGGCCACATTCAAAGCCGTCCTGGGCTGAGGATTAGACAAGCTGCTTTAAGTCATCTCTGGATTTCTTATTATACCTAATACAATGTAAATACAATGTACGTGGTTGTCATATTGTATTTTTCTTTAAATGTCTTTAAAAAATATTGTTATATTGTTATTACTATTAGGGTTTTTTTTTCTTTTTTAGTGTTTTTGATGTGCAGTTGGTTAAATCTGCAGAGTCAGAACGCTCGGACAAGGAAGCCAACTGTACTCCTCGATGCCAATGACTTGCTTACTCTCTACTTATTATTATCTCTTATTCTCCATGCCTTCATTCTAGCACATGCTTCAGTCTAGCATAAGTAGTCACCCTTCTATATTGTGGAGTCAGAAAGGACAATATCTAGATCATTGCTCAACAGTTCTGAACTGGAAGATTAAAAAGCTGCGGAGGTGATGGTGAGGAAAGACAGTACTCCCAGAAGGCCTTCTGTGTGCAGTTGTTCACGGAAACCACATGAACGGAAAATAGCTACACAGCTAATTCTTACTAAGGTGGCAAACACTGTGCATAACTTTTCACCAGGTCAACCACGGAATCTTCAGAAAACTGGTGGCCAACTATGAGGTTTCACATTGATGTTTAATGGCTGTTCCTAAAGAAGTGTGAGCCTTGCTTTTTTAAAAAAAAATAGGGCATGTGAGGTAGGTTGGAAAGGGAAGATAAAAGGCGCTGGAAAAATAGAGTGTGATTATTGCATTTTTATCAAATTATCAAATACATCTGTCTGGATTATGCGGTTAGAATCACTGCCAATTTGGCTTTTGTAAAAACTTTAAAACTTTTTGGCCCAGAGCGGTGGCTGACGCCTGTGATCCCAGCACTTTGGGAGGCTCCGGCGGGCCGATCACCTGAGGTCTGGAGTTCGAGACCAGCCAGATCAACATGGAGAAAACTCTACTAAAAATACAAAATTAGCTGGGCGTGGTGGCACATGCCTGTAATCCCAGCTACTTGGGAGGCTGAAGCAGAATTGCTTGAACCTGGTTAGCAGAGGTTACGGTGAGCTGAGATAGCACCATTGCACTCCAGCCTGGGCAACAAGAGCGAAACTCAGTCTCAAACAAATTTTCCCAATGTTTTCATTAACAGATCCAGTATGCAGGTTTTGAGTGGGCTGCCATTTCGTTCAGATATCAAAGTAATTTACAAGTAACTATTAGCATTTATTGTCTACACGTGAAAAACTAGCAAAGAAAGGTCAATCAAAAGTTGTGCTCAAGGTCATTATATAAAATGATATAAAATAAGATTAATATTTAAAAAGTATTCCACGAAGACCAGGGGTCCAGCTAAATGTGAGGTGGCGGGGAAAATGCTTATCTAAAGTCCCTCTAAAGAAACCTCAGAAGGGAGAAAAACTTCACAGCCTCAGGAATGGACACATTTAAGTTTTTCTTTTTCTTTTTTTTTTTTGGCAGTGTCTCGCTCTGTTGTCCAGGTTTGAATGCAGTGGCCCTATCTCTGTTCACTGTAACCCCCGCCTCCCGAGCTCACGCGATTCTCCTGCTTCAGCCCACACACCCACCCCGCCCCGAGCAGCTAGGGTTATAGGCGCGTGCACTACGCCCAGATAATTTTTTTGGTATTTTTTAGTAGAGATGGGGTTTCGCCATGTTGACCAGGCGGGTCTCGAACTCCTGGCCTCAAGAAATCCGCCCGCCTCGGACCTCCAAAGTGCTGGGACCACAGGCGTGGGATACTGTGTCCGGCACACATTTGGGTTTTTCGTAGTCAGCAAAAAGACGACCACCCCAACATATAAATCTGGTGAATCATACGCAAATTCCCTCATGCCACAACCTTCCACTGCTCTTCATACCTTTGGAGAGGCACACACTGTTACTTTAGGGGAGGAAATGGATCAGAGACCTTGTCTCCTTTTTCTGCGCTACCAAACACCCCAAATGGCTTCCCTAGCAATCAGATTCCAGAAACACTTTCTCTTCTCTTGAAAACCCTCCGCTCCCTTCACTCAAGAACAGAATAATCAGGGGCCTTAATGAAGCTGTCTCGCCAACCTGCAGGGAAGAGCTGAGACGCAACCACTTGCCGCGTCAGGAAAATCCCGCGCCGCACCATGGAGGCAGCCATCTTGGAGCGTACCAAAAGGAAGCCGGGGGGGTTACGGACAGAGGAAGGGGCGGGGTTACTCGACCTCTGGGGCGCCCAGAATTGGACGAATCCTGTTCGTCGCCCTCGGCGTCAGGACCGACGCCCCGCCTCCTCGCCACGGTTCCGGCAGTTGGTATGGTCCGTGACGGTATGGCTGCTGCACTTCGGCCTTCCTGTGGAGTTCTCCTGCAGGCCCTGCAGTTTTCGGCGTATCCCGGGGCGGGAGGCTCCGGCTCTGCCTGCTACCGCTGCCCTCTCGGAGGTATCGGCAGCCTTAGCCCAGTGAAGGAGGGGCGAGATGGGAGAGAAGGGAGTATTAGACCCCAGCTAGCATCTCTTTGGAGCTCCTAAGTCACTCACTGGCCTGGAGCTCACCCTTGCCATCTAGTTGCACGTGGATTCAGTGGTTGCCCCTGAATTGGGGTCGTGGATACCCCCAGTGCCTGCAAATCGAAGGATGGCTGGGGTCTTGACCCTGGGGCTGTAGTACTCCCTCAGATGGGGCGACGTTGCTCTTCAGGAACACCCTTCCCGCCTTGGGTGACATTTCTCTTTTTCTTTTCTTTTTTTTTTTTCTTTTCTTTCTTTCTTTCCTTTTCTTTTCTTTCTTTCTTTTCTTGTTCTTTCTTTCTTTCTTTTCTTTTCTTTTTTTTTTTTTGAGACTAAGTTTTGCTCTGTCGCCCAAGGTAGAGTGCAGCGGCGCGATCTCAGCTCACTGCAACCTCCGCCTCCCAGGTTCAGGCGATTCTCCTGCCTCAGCCTCTCGAGTAGCTGTGACTACAGGCGCGCGCCACCATGCCCGGCTAATTTTTTGTATTATTATTAGAGACGGGGTTTCACTAAGTCGGCCAGGCTGGTCTCGAACTGCTGACCCCATGATCCACCCGCCTCAGCCTCCCCAACTAAGTGCTGTGATTACAGGGGTGAGCCACCGCGCCCTGCTTTTCTTTTTCTTTTCTGCAGTTTGGGAGCAGAGGTCTTATGGAGTCTCACTTTTGCTAACAATCTAAAAGACCTTTAGCATGTTTCTTCATTTTTCAAAACTATCCTTTAACATCTCTATGAAAAAAATTAAATTAGAAAATGCTAGTGAGTGACGGTAAAAATATTTAACGCTGTCAAGCCTTATTTTAATGTATTTTACATACATTAATTCCTTTTCTCTAAACAACACTCAGCAAGAGAAGTAACATTCTTTTCTCCATTTACAGAGAAGGAACAAGGTTAAGTAATTTGCCCAAGGTCAGAGGGAACTGGTAGAGGCGGGATTTGAACACAGCCAACAATAGAGACCTGTTCCTAACCACTTCACTGGACTGCCTGTCCGTAAATAAATAGCAATTTTTATTGTTACCTTGTTATTGCAGCTCACAGAACTCTTGGTGTATGATTCTTTGGCCAAACTTCGTCCATTTTGTGTCATGCACAGCTGAGGATCCTAAAGAAAGGATGATGTTTCCCAAATCTACTCTGCTGTTACCAGTGATTTCCATGCATCTCAGATGTGTTTTGGGTTCACATCCGAGAGGCCTTAACCCTCATTTCACAGAAGACAAAACTGGGAATTCCACTGGCCACACTGCAGCCTTTTCCACTACACTATGCTTCTCCCTGGATAAACCAAAACTAAATATGCCTGTTTTACATTTAAATGTTAGATATTAGGTTTTTTTTTTTTAATGCCTTTGTTACCCTTTAATCAAATGGCAAATGCCTATTTGTACTTCAAATCCCAACTTCCTGTCAATCAGTCCCCACACGGTTAATCACTAACTTCTTTTGTGCACACAAGTAAACCCTCTTTTGGTGAGGATTTGCATTCGCTGGTAGTCCAGAAATGTTTTTTCGCAGGAGTTACTGTCACCTGTCTAATGAATTGTTTATAATAGGTGAAGATAAGATCAGTTAATCAGAGAGAGTCAAGCTCTACTCATGTTATTTGCTAACTTTTAAAACAATCAAAATGACTTTACTTTTTCCTTTCTCTGATTTTTAGCTAAAAGATACCTACTTACAGATAACATTGTGAAACTAAAAGAATTTCAGCATAAGAAAGTGGCTGTTGCATGTAATCTTCCTGGCACTAAAGGTAATAGAATCTATTTTGTTAATTCTGTAATTTACGTTTCTCTGTCTTCATCCCTATTCAGTGTCTCCTTCAGTGATTTTATTATGCCTTAGAAAAAGTTGAGACCGTTTATATTTAGTTTCATAGTGTGCTCTTATATTCAGCTCACATCTCACAGTTTGCTGCTACAAAGTCTACAGCTCTCTTATCCCTTTTCTTATGATCCCAGAGAAATACTAAGGCTAGTGCTGCCATTGGTCCTGTCTAGATCTATGCCACTTAAACTATGGTTTGAGGACAAGCAACGTCAGCATCTGTTGGGTGGTTGATAGAAATGCAGATAGAAAGGCCCCAATTCATTCATATGCACAATAAATTTTAAGAACTTCAGATGATTGGCTTTGAAACTTTTCAATGTAACCTTCAGTGAAAATGCATTTTATGTTACATCTCAGTACACACATATGTATCTATATATAAATGAAATCAAATGAAACAAAACAGTACTGTGTGTGATGGTACTTTTTGATATTTTTCACTCTGTGCTAGAAGTCAGTAGGATCAAAAATTTCTTTAAAAAAAAAAAGAGAAACCTGACCATCAAACCTAGGATTTCGCTGGGCATCAAGGCTCATGCCTATAACTTCAGCACTTTGGGAGGCCAAGGCAGGAGGATTTCCTGAGCCAAGGAGTTTGAGATCAGCTTGAGCAGCATAGACCCCCATCTCTACAAATTTTTTTAAAGTTAGCTGGGTGTGGTGATGCATGCCTGTAGTGACCCTGTCTCAAAAAAAAAAAAAAAAAAAATCTCTGGGTTGCTTTGGGAAAAAAAAAAAAAAGAAAAGCAAACCAGTGTGTTTGGGGATTGTAGAGTAGAGGAAACATAATTAGCAAAATATTGGTAATTATTGAGGCTGGAAAATGGCACATAGAGGTATTATTATACTGTTCTTTCATTTCTTGGATATGTTTGAAGATTTTTGTTATAAAAAGCTAAAAACACAAGAACACCACCTTAGGTCTTACTACTTTTCAGCACCTGAGAAATCTTGTTTCATTCATTCTCTCCCTCCTGCACAGAGTTCTTCCCAGCACTTTAAACCCATTTATTGTGTTTGGGTACAGCAGTGGTCCCTGGGAGTTGTGGATGCACCCCATTGATCCCCAGTTGTGAACACATCAAGACTTTCTTTTAATAAATCTTGGTGTCCCTGTTGACTTTTTCATCCATAGACCCAGGTCTCCTTCCTCTCAATGGCAGATGTTTGTGAGCTGATTAACATATTAACATTCTCTTTATTTTGTTTTGTTTTTTTTTTTTAAGAGACAGGGTCTCGCTCTGTAACCTAGGTTGGAGTACAGTCGGTGCCATCGTAGCTCGCTACAGCCTCAAACTCCTGGATTCAAGCAATCCTCCTGCTTTAGCCTCCTGAGTGACTAGGACTACAGTGCCACCATGCCTGCCTAATTTTTAGTTTTTCAGAGGCAGGGCCTCACTGTATTGCCTAGGCTAGTCTCAAACTCCTAGGCTCAAGCTGTCCTCCCACCTCAGTCTCCTAAAGTACAGGCGTGAGCCACTGCACCCATCCTGATACTTTCTGTCTCCATTTCCTCACAATTCAGTTCTCCAGAAATCAGTGTGCTCTCGCTGCTCCACTAAACATACTGTTATATAACGTGATATATGGGACAAAAAAATAAACCTTTGGAATGTGGGGAATATATTTATCCCCAGGTTAGTAGGCTCAATCTAGATTTCACTTATCTTTTCTTTCTACCGCAGGTATTTTAGATCCTTGTGAGGTTTGCAGTTAGGGCTTTATGTCATCCGGTTGTGATTTCCAATTGTAGTCTTCATAAGGTTGTGGCAGTTGTGTACAGGTTCTGAAAGGCAATTAATGTAATCATTGCCAATCTGCTCTGTTGTCAGACTGATACGTTTAAAACCCTGTCAACCTTTCATCATTTTGAGATCCCACAGTGGTACTCTGTTGTATACCACACCATTAATGTCCTCATCCCTCTGGCATCCTGGCTGTCTTAGTGGACTCCATCCTTTCTAGAGTTCAGCATGGTTTCTGGTTCATCTATCACAGCTCTTCCCTCCACACCTTTCACTCCCAGTTCTCTTCTGTCACTCATGCTGATTCCCATACCTAGAATGCCTCCCTCCTCCATTTCTCCAACCCAATTCAGCCCTTTTTTTTCCTCACTGGTACCCCTCCACTTTCACCAACCTGGTCTGTCCTGAGTCATAATAGTAAAGGTTGTAATAGGACCTTTCTGCCCACTCTGAGTTATACTAGGTATCATAACAGGACAGAAGAGTCCTATTATGTTTCTAGTCATTCCTGTGTCACCTCCTCCATTACTGTTTTCAGGTAGCTTTGTATAAGTAGAGCTTTTGCCTTCCCAAATAGGCTTTAAGTTCTTTGAGGGCAAGAACTATTCTTTATCCTTCTCAGTGTCTCACACACAAAGAAGGATACTTCTGAGTATGATTATATGATACATACTTAAATGTTGATTGATTTGTTTTAAAACACAAGTTGAAATTTTGGATTCTTGTTTTTTGTTTTTGGTTTTTTTCCCTGAGATGGAGTCTCGCTCTGTCACCCAGGCTGAAGTGCGGTAGCGTGATCTCGGCTCACTGCCACCTCTGCCTCTCAGGTTCAAATGATCCTCGTGCTTCAGCCTCCCCAGTAGCTGGAATTACATATGTGTGCCATCATGCCTGGCTACTTTTTGTATTTTTGGTAGAGAGCGGGGGTTTCACCATGTTGGTGAGGCTGGTCCCGAACTTCTGACCTCAAGTGATCTGCCCACCTCAGCCTCCTAAAGTGCTGGGATTACAGGCATAAGTCACTGCACCTGGCCTCTTAAGGTTTATTAAGAAGGATTAAGAGGTACAAGATGTAATGTCATCTCTTTGATGACTTTAGACTTTTTAGATTGGAAATCACTTAGAAATATTTAATAGACTAAATCCTCATAGATCCGACAGAAGGAATGAAAATAGGAACAATAACGTTGCTATTTACTGGCAATTACCATATGGCAAATGCTTTACATAGATCATCTCAGGTAACCCCATGAGGAAGGTACCACGATCCTTAATTTACACATGAGGAATCAAGTCTCACAGACAAGGGTCTCCATCAGAGTGCAAGTGGCTGAGCTTAGATTTCAGCCCAGGTGCTTCCATCTCTAGAGCCTGTAACTGTTAACGTGGTTCTGCAAATAAGAATGGGAAGATCACTGCATTATCTCAAACGTAGTGGGTCTTTTCTTGTAAATCGAGAAGAATGCCCCTGCTTCTAGTTCTTGTATTTTACATGTATTTGTGCCTCTCCTTTCAGCAGCATTCCTTCATAGCTCTGGGCTTTGGAACAAATCCTATAACCATTTCCTGGCAGCTTCTGATACTGACAACAGTTCTGCCTTCTGGAAAGCAGATGCTTGCTTGGTGCCTGCTTTGCTTTTCACCCCACATTTTGGTGGGAATACAGCCCCTCCTTGATGCCAAGAAGAGGTGCTTCCTTTTGGTTTTTGTCCCCACAGTTGATCAGATACAAAGACAAGGGAGAATGATAGACTGTAATGATGCTGAAATGATTCTGTCACTAAAAAACTGTTTGCTGCTGTTTGGAGGACTGTTTTCCCCCCTGCCCATTGCATAGTACTTGAGCATACTTTCTAACAGCTGAGTAGAAAGAAACCAAGAGGAATGAAAAAGAGGTAAAATTGAATCAAATGAAAGAAACATGAGTCATGTGAGTCCACCACTGTGGACAAACCTACCTTCAACTCACATTTTCTTTTTAGTTTTCCTGTGTGGCTCTCTGCCAATTGATGGTTTGAGTGTCTAGCTACATTTTCTTTCTTTTTTCTCATGAGTCACCTGGAGATTCAGCTATTTGAGCCAAGCCTCTGGGACAGTAGTTCTCAAATTTCAGTATACCAGAGGATTACCTAGGGAATCAAAAATGCTAATTCTTGAGCTCTTACCCCAGAGATTTTATTTTACCGAGTCTTGAGTGAGCCTGGCCCTGTGCCCATGCCCCAGCTTCCTATGACAGATGCCATCTGCTGACACTTTTCTAGAGGAGATTAGCCAGTGATGGCAGCTGCGTGTCCCTGAGCCCCTCTCAGTGCCCTTTTGCAGTGAGCTGGGGTTGGACTTCCCCATCTTCACTAGGTCAGGCTCCTTATACTGCCAGTCAGCCTGAGTGATGGCCACCATACTATGTTTTCTTCCAGAAACCTATTTTAGAAACTTGGAAGAGAAACTCATCCAGAACAAGCTCATCTTGAAGGGGGAGTTGATAACCTTACTTCATTTGTGTGAGTCCCGGGACCATGTGGAGCTGGCTAAAAATGTCATTTACAGGTGAGGCATTTCCTTAGAATGCTGCCACCCTCATCCCTTCATACTCTCTTCCTTTCTGTGAGCAGCCTCATCCATTTCCAAGATTTTGCCACTTCTACACCAATGACTTTCAAATCTCTTTTTCATATGCCTGCTTTGAATTCCAGACACTTACATTCACTCATTGAGCACACACTTACTGTGTTCCTGCTACATGCTGGGTGCTAAGGATAGAAAAGCAGATATTTTATGTCTAAAGAAGTTACCAGCCTATTCACTAACTCCACTGACATATCCCCTAGGTCTTCAAATTCAACATGTGCAAATTCACTCCTCTTCCTCTGTTTTCCTTCTCACTGGCTAGTCACTCAGGATAGATATTTTGCAGCCTCTTTACTTTCATCTCATTTGCCTCTGTTTCCTGATAGGGTAAGAAATCCTGCTGCTTCCACTTCCTTGGTATCTCCCTCAGCTCCAGCCCTCCTCTTTCTCTCCTGTTACCAATGTCTTAGTTCACGCTTTAATGTCTTTCACCTGGATCCTTTCAGTGACCCTAACTATTCTCCCTCCTCCAGTCCTGCTATACCTTTCTGATCCATTATTAAAAGTTTCCCATGTCAGAAGGAACTCACATGTAAGCATAGCCTGCCACTGGGAAAGCTAGTAAAGGCTTCACTTACCAGGGAGCAGTATGACATCAAATCAACAGACTTCATTTCTGAAATTAAGTTCATTGTTCTTTTCCATTTTTTAAAAACTGTTTTCTTTTTCTTTCTTTTTTTATTGAGATGAAGTCTTGATCTGTTGCCCAGGCTGGAGTACAATTGCATGATCTCTCAGCTCACTGCAACCTCCACCTCCAGGTTCAAGCAATCCTCCCTGTGTCAGCCTCCCAAGTAGCTGGGATTATAGGTACCTGCCACCATGCCTGGCTAATTTTCATATTTTTAGTAGACATGGGTTTTGCCATGTTGGCCAGGCTGGTCATGAACTCCTGGACTCAAGTGATCCACCCGCCTCCGCCTCCCAGAGTGCTAGGATTACAGGCATGAGCCACCATGCCTAGCCCTCTTTTCCATTTTTTAAAGATCTGTTTCTGTACATGAACCTGGATTTTATATGTACATTTATAGAGAGAAATACAGGATAATCACATAAAGAATACTAGGAGATTATATAACAAGAGTTAACTGTGATTCTCTGGGAATTATGGATTATGTATTTTTTGTTTGTCTAAATATATTTTTCTGATTTCTCAAACTTGTCTACAGTGAATATTTTATAACATGAAAAAATGTCTTTAAGTTAAAAAAAGGAAAATTAAAAAATTCACTGAAAAATTGAAAAACACCAAAAAGTAGAAAGGAGAAATATATCACGAATTCTGCTGTTTCAGTTGTCTGTTGCTGCATAGCAAACCACACCAGAACTTAGTGGCTTAACACAGCGACTGTTTATTAATTCTCATAATTCTGGGATCAGGAATTGAGGCCCATCTCCACTGAGCAGTTCTTTGTTGGTGTCAGATGAAGCCACTCACTTATCTGCAGTCAACTGGTAGCTGGGCTGTACTGCATGGTCCAAGAAGGCCTCTCTTGAGTTTGTGATGCCTCATTGCTCCTCCATGTGGCTGCTCCCTATCTTTCTGGAGTGCCTCATCATTCATTTGTTGGTTTGAGCTGCATTGGCCCACAGCCCAGATGGGAGCTGCCAGGCATGATAGAGTTGCCCAGAATTGGCATGGCTTCTCTTGGTCAAGGCAAGATACCTGTCCAGATCCAAGTAAAGGGGAGGGGAAAAGGATTCCGCCTCTGGATTAATGGAAGGAATTGATGACGTCCATCTTTGGGGCCTGCTGCTTACATCTAAGAAACCACTGTTGAGATTTTTGCATTTTTTTTTCACAGATGCAAAGATTTCATTATTTTGGCAGATTTTCTTTTACATTGTTATAATTATTTCTGTGTAATTATTTTCTAAATTAATATAAATTTTTTTCCTTGTTAATCATATCCTTAGGAGTCATAGTTTAATGACAATACAATATTTCATTGTACATTGGATATTTTCATTAACCATGCCCATATTGTTGGACACTGAAGTAATTTATAATTTTTTACCAGTATAAATAATGTCATGATGAGAAACTCTCTGCATAAAACTACTGTTTGTTTCCTTTTGGGGATCAGGGGGTATGAACTTTTTAAAAATTTATCAATATAACTGTCAGATTATTTTCCAAAAGCATTATGCTAATTTAAAGTCACACTATATCTGCAAACTTAATTCTATATTTCAGTTTCACAAAGTTAAATCATTTCCCTCTGGCATGTTTTCTTCTCACACATTTTACTACACAAAGCTATTTGATGTTTATAAGAGTAGTAAAATGAGATAAATATTCTGAACACTCTTTCTACTCCTGTTTTTATCATAAATATTCAGAGTGTGACTCAGTTCCTTTACTGATGCTAATAACTCTCTACCCAGTTGCTGATCTTTCCCTCTCTACTTGCAGACAGCTGGACAAGATGGTTAGATCCAAGGCTCAACCATCATGTTCTCTTTCTTCCTGGGTCAGGCAGCCCATGACTGGGAAAGGAGAGTCATGAGCTGAAACATAAGCTTTTTATCGAGCCAAAAATGGGAAACATCTTAATACCCTCATTGTGTTGACCAAATGCTGTTTGGTTTATTGAGGGATTTTAGATCCTCTTCAACATTTCTTGCCCAGAAGGCAACTCATTATCTCAGTGACTTTCTAGCACTTTTATTAATGTGAATGTCATTTAGAGTGTTAATGTCAAATCAGAAAACTTGTTTTTGCTTTCTTTTGCTTTTAATCTGGCACAAGTTTCTCATGAGAATATTTACTGAAATATGTTGATTTTTAAAGATGTTTTTCTTAGCATGCCTTACATTTTATAAGAGCTAACATATGTTGAAGACTTGTGTGCCAAGCACATCATCTCATTTAATCTTCACACACACACAAAAAAAACTTATTGGGTTCTCTTCTTCCTTCCATTTTACAGGTGAGGAGACAGGGGCAGAGAATAGTTAATTAATTTGCTTATGGTCACACAGTTTATAAACAGAAGAGCTAGGACTTGAATGATCAGTTTGGATTCAGAGTCTAAAAACCCTTTACCACTATCCTATATTGGCTTCTAACAAATTAATTTATGAGTGTTGTAATGAAGCAGTAAATATTATTTGTAAGTTCTGTAAGTGGATTATGAAATGTATCAAAGTACACATCATCATCCTATTATGGTATCATTGTAGTACATGTGTTTAGAATAGACTAGCGTAATGCTACTCTGATTCCTTGATGATTTTGGCAGAAGGTAAAAAGCATTCTGTTTTGTTGTCAGCACTTTACTGCAAGGTATTTTAGATTCATTCATCATATTAATCTAAATCTAAAAGGAATATGAATATGAAGATTTATAATGAGTACATCTTTCTAAAATCTGATTTACACGTAATGAAGTGTTCCTTTTGTCATATATTGTCCTCTTGGTGTCTAAAGCAAAAAGAGTTGGTTATTGAAAGTAAATTTACAGTAGTGATATGCAGCTCTGACTGGCAGGCTGGCTGCCTGTAGAAGTCTCAAGCCACATAGAAGACATCATTGTCTTTGACATTAGCTTTTTCTTAAAAGTTCAGGCCAGGTGTCATGGCTCACCCCTGTAATCCCAGCACTTTGGGAGGCCAAGGTGGGCAGATCACAAGGTCAGGAGTTCAAGACCAGCCTGGCCAACATGGTGAAACCCCGTCTCTACTAAAAATAGAAAAATAGCTTGGCATGGTGGCGTGTGCCTGTAATCCCAGCTACTCAGGAGACTGAGGCAGGAGAGTTGAACTGGGATCCGTAGGCGGGGGTTGCAGTCAAGATTGTGCTACTGCATTCCAGTCTCAGCTATAGAGCAAGACTCCATCTCAAAAAAAGAAACAAAACAAAACAAAACAAAACTTAAACGTTCAAAACCACATTTAACTTGTTTAGCCAGGTGATCGTAGCTCTTGTGTACCTTTCCCAAACTTAGAAAAGCAGAGAGATTGCTATAAATTGTGAATGTGTCTGTTGGTTGTTTGCCATCCTATATGAGGATGAAGCCAGCCTCCAGGAGCATAGAGCATCACCCTACTTTCCTTTGTTCTCTGGGTGGGGCCTATTCTGATGCACTTACAGATGCTACTAGACTCCTGCTGTTTCCTAAGGTGTGCTCACACTCAGTCTCAGGGTTGTTTTTAAATTTAGAGAATGATTACAATGTATATTTTCCCTCTGTTTCTCTTATTTTATGTCAGCCTGCTATAAACTCTGTTTATTTAAATGCTTGGTATACTTCTGCACTCCAGGATTCCTGATTGTTGGAAATCACTTCTCCCCGTCCAGACTGTGAGAAAACCTCATTCTCTATTGTGTCCCAGCACCTGGCACAGTACATGCCGCAGTCTGTGTCTGTCCTTTTTCCTGTTTCCTACCTTTCGCTCATTGAATCATTTTGATTACCAGGTACCATGCAGAGAACAGAAATATCACTGTGGGGGAGTATAAGTTCGGACCACTTTTCATGAGGCTGTGTTACGAGTTGGATCTTGAGGAATCTGCAGTGGAGCTCATGAAAGACCAGGTTATTGTTTCCTAATTGTTTTCTGTGCCAATGTGTGTGTTTTTGGTGATATTGGAAAAGGCATCTCTTCCATGCACATTATTCCTGGGTTAGGTTTTCAAAGAAAGGCTGCTGGGCTGAATGAATAAGCACTTCCCTGCATTTTTTAGTTTCCTTGCAGTCAGTTTGTGTGAAGAGAGGTGGAGTAATATAGAACAAGTGTGGAAGAGGTATAGGTACAGATGATCCTACTTTGGATGTGTATCAGCATGCGTTGTATACCTACTCTTTCAAGGGCTTTCAATAGAGAAGAGCTTAACACAGCTTCCATTTAAAGACTGACATTCCTATCCTTTACCTGTGTTCCCTCTTTATTTTCTATTTGTATTTTTCTGGTTGAAGACTACATTTGGGAAGTACTTTTCCATTTTCAAAATACTTTCACATATTCTGACTTTCTTTTCCCTAAAACAAATGTAAATAAAAATTTTTACAGCTACTCATTAAATATTTACTATGTTTTTGGCATTGTATTTAAGTACTTTAAATGTTTCATTTTATTTGTTTTCCACAATAGTCTTGATGAGGTACATTTCCATTTTGCAGATAAAGAAACTAGGACCTAAAGACATTATAAATTCATTCATTCATTCATTATAAAGTCATTTTGATTACCAGATACCATGCAGAGAACAGAAACATCACTTTGGGGGAGTGTAAGCTTAGACCACTTTTCATGAGGTTGCAGTTCCCATAATCAGAAATAATTGCTAAATTTTGGGCCACAGCTGGTCACCAGGTACATTTTTGTGTATTTAGGAACTTATAAGCTGAGTTGTTCTTCTGCTTCTTACACTTTCTTTTAAAAATTAAAAAATATACTGTATTTACTTAGAAGCATTTAGAATGTCATCAAGACAGATGCAACTTTTTTTTTTTGCAATTGCAGAATGATACTCAGTTAACAGAACAATTATTTCATATAAGCTGCATCAGATTGAAGATGATAAAACTACCATCCCCATATATAACTAATTTGTGCTGTGCACCAACAACAACCTGCTTTAAATTTCCATGCCAATTTGCAGCCGCCGTACTATACCAGGCAAGGTTAGTTGCTATCGAAAATACCGTCAGGACAGGGCTATCTAAAGACACATTCAGTAGTGTGTTAACTATACAAAAAAAAGACACTGTACAGTTTAAAAACAAATCTTAACACAGCCTTACATTTCAATTTTCTTCTTTAAAAAGAGTGAGTTGTGTGCAGGAGGGTTAGATGCTTTATAGACAAGACAAAAACTGCACTAGAACCAACTTATTCATCATCATCTTCATCTTCTTCATTCTCTTCATCTTCTTGTTTTCCTACTCTTCCTACTTTTTCTTGCTTTTTACAGCCTTGACAACTCCCTTTATTGCTGCATCAGGCTTTCCTTTAGCTTGATATACAGCAACATCCTTTTCATATTTTTCCTTCAGCTTCACAGCCTTCTTTTCATAAGGCTGCTTGTCACCTGCAGCAGTGTCATTCCACATCTCTCCCAGTTTCTTTGCAATATCACCAATGGACAGGCCAGGATGTTCTCCTTTGATTTTTGGGTGATACTCAGAGCAGAACAGGAAAAAGGCTGAAGGAGTCCTCTTGGGTGCGTTGGGATCCTTGAGCTTCTTTTGTCTCCTCTTTAGGAAGGATATACGTTTTCATTTCTCTTTCATAACAGGCCTTGCTGCCTTTGCCATATCTGCATATTTTCCTTTCTCTTTAGCAGTCATGGACTTCCACCTTTCTGATCGCTTCTTAGAAAAGGAAGGAGTGAGGAATTGACTGAAGCATCTGGGTGCTTCTTAAGCTTCTCCCAACAAGTTTGCACAAAAAATGCATGTGATGACATTTTGCCTGTTGACTTCTTAGGATCTCCTTTGCCCATGTTTAGTTATTTTTCCTCAGCGATGCACAGAGTCAACCAGTGCCCATCTGGCTCTCACTTGCCCCAGCACTGTCTCTGTGGAGCTGAATGTACTTCAGCCTCTTACTCTTTTTTCATACAAAGCGTTTTCTGTACATGGTGGGTGTGTTAACTCTAGGCTTGCTCCTCTTTAATGACACCTGTGTATTAGAAAGATGATCAAGATATATCAGTAAGCAGAGAAAAGATAGTCTCAGAATGGTACAGATAGTTTGATCCTGTTTTTTCCTAAAAAAAAAAAAAAAAAGACACATATTAACATTAACATTTTAACAAAATATAGATACATATATGCTGGAAAGATATACACTAAATCACTTTAGGGAGTAAAATTATTAAAAATTCTCACTTTTTATTTTATATGTTTTGTATTATTTGACTATAAACATAATGTTGCAGTTAAAGGAAAACAAGTTTCCCGCTGTAATAAATCATAGCCATGACTATGATGATAAAAACAAAACTATAAAAGAAAGATGAAAGCAAAGGGTTTCTTTTTTTAGCCTACTTATATATGAAAAACTCGTGTATAAGCAAGTTTTCTGGAGTAGAATGAACAAATTCGAGTAAGTGACAGAGGACCTAATCCTGCTTCTACCAGAAGTGTTGTAACTTAAAACCCTGTAGCTTTGTCAGCATGGTAGCCACATTAGTCACTGAACTATGGCTAACTCAACTTTACATGCGCTGTAAGTATAAAGTATATGATGGAGTTTAATTACTTGGTATAAAAAAGAGAATGCAGGCTGGGCACGGTGGCTCACACATGTAATCCCAACACCTGGGGAGGCCAAGGAGGGCAGATCACCTGAGGTCGGGAGATAGAGATCAGCCAGACCAGCCTGTCTCTATTAAAAATACAAAATTAGCTGGGCGTCGTGGTTCATGCCTGTAATCCCAGCTACTCAGAGGCTGAGGCAGAAAAATCGCTTGAACCTGGAAGGCGGAGGTTGCAGTGAGCTGAGACCATGCCATTGCACTGCAGCCTGGGTGGGCAACAAGAGTGAAACTCTGTCTCAAAAAAAAAAAAAAAAAAAAGAATCCAATGTATTTTATTAACTTTTATGTTGATTACATGTTGAAAATTACATCTTGGATATAGTGGGTTAAATTATTTAGTCTATTTCTGTTTACATTTTTCTTTTTTTTTTTTGTTAACTATATATATATATATGTAAATATTTTACTGCACTTTAGGTTCTGGGGTACATGTTCAGAAGATACAGGATTGTTGCATAGGTACCTACATGGCAATGTGATTTGCTACCTCCATACCCCCATCACCTATATCTGGCATTTCTCCCCATGTTGTCTCTCCCCAACCTCCCTACCCCATGCTGTCCGTCCCCTAATCCTCCCACAACAGACCCCAGTGTGTGATGCTCTCCTCCCTGTGTCCATGTGATCTCATTGTTCAACACCTGCCTATGAATGAGAACATGCAGTGTTTGATTTTCTGTTCTTGTGTCAGTTTGCTGAGAATGATGGTTTCCAGATTCATCCATGTCCCTACAAAGGACACAAACTAATCATTTTTTATGGCTGTGTAGTATTCCATGGTGTATATGTGCCACATTTTCCTTGTCCACTCTATCATCAATGGGCATTTGGGTTGGTCCCAGGTCTTTGCTATTGTAAACAGTGCCACAGCGAATATACGTGCACATGTGTCCTTATGATAGAATGATTTATAATCCTTTGGATATATACCCAGTAATGGGATTGCTGAGTCAAAAGGAATTTCTATTTCTAGGTCCTTGAGGAATCGCCACACTGTGTTCCACAATGGTTGAACTAATTTACACTCCCACCAACAGTATAAAAGTGTTCCTGTTTCTCCACATCCTCTCCAGCATCTGTTGTCTCCAAATTTTTTAGTGATCACCATTCTAACCGGTGTGAAATGGTATCTTAGTGTGGTTTTGATTTACATTTCTCTAATGACCAGTGATGAGCATTTTTTCATGTTTGATGGCTTTATAAATGTCTTCTTTTGAAAAAGTGTCTGTTCATATCCTTCGCCCACTTTTGAATGGGTTTGTTTGTTTTTTTTTTCTTGTAAACCTGTTTTTGTTCCTTGTAGATTCTGGATATTTGCCCTTTGTCAGATGGGTAGATTGCAAAAATTTTTTCCCATTCTGTTGGTTGCCGGTTCACTCTAATGATGGTTTCCTTTGCTGTACAGAAGCTCTGGAGTTTAATTAGATCCCTTTTTTCTATTTTTGCTTTTTTGCCAATGCTTTTGGTGTTTTAGTCATGAAGTCCTTGCCTATGCCTATGTCCTGGATGGTTTTGCCTAGGTTTTCTTCAAGGGTTTTTATGGTGTTAGTTCTTATGTTTAAGCCTTTAATTCATCTGGAGTTAATTTTAGTGTAAGGTGTCAGGAAGGGGTCCAGTTTCTGCTTTCTGCACATGGCTAGCCAGTCTTCCCAAGGCCATTTATTAAACAGGGAATCCTTTCCCCATTGCTCGTTTTTGTCGGGTTTGTCAAAGATCAGATGGTTGTAGATGTGTGGCATTGTCTGCGAGGCCTCTGTTCTGTTCCATTGGTCTATATCTCTGTTTTGGTACCAGTACCATGTTGTTTTGATTATTGTAGCCTTGCAGTATAGTTTGAAGTCAGGTAGCATGATGCCTCCAGCTTTCTTCTTTTTGCTTAGAATTGTCTTGGCTATGTGGCCCCTCTTTTGCTTCCATATGAAGTTTAAGATGGTTTTTTCAGTTCTGTAAAGAGGGTCATAGGTAGCTTGATGGGGATAGTGTTGAATCTGTAAAGTACTTTGGGCAGTAGGGCTGTTTTCACAATATTGATTCTTCCTAACCATGAGCATGGAACGTTTTTCCATCTGTTTGTGTCTTCTCTTATTTCCTTGATCAGTGGTTTGTAGTTCTCCTTGAAGAGGTCCTTTACATCCTTTGTTAGTTGTATCACTAGGTATTTTATTCTCTTTGTAGCAATTGTGAATGGCAGCTCGTTCTTGATTTGGCTCTCTTTAAGTCTGTTTTTGGTGTATAGGAATGCTTGTGATTTCTGCACATTGATTTTGTATC